AGCACTATTTGATAACTGGCACATAAGAATTGGTCTACAAAACTCATATGATAATTGACACCTATTTTGGTAAAGTAGAGTAAAAAAGTGAAAGGTACAGGCTGTGATCCACACAAGATAAAAAATTAAGTTCCTTTATCAGTTACAAATTTATTAAAATCAACAAAAATTACCATTTGCCAGAGTTGCGATGCTAAAAATCCAAAGTAATAAACCCAAACACCGCATTGTGGAGAATTGATGACTTGTGCCTACAAGAAAAAACAACGTTCACCTTAACGTTGAGCTGTCATATAATTATATGTAGATTTGTACACTTAAATAAATATGTGCATTTAATCCAGAGGCAGAGAATGCTATCCTGGAGAAATCGGTTCCTTGCTGTTTCATAAACTATCCGATCCGGTTGACTGGAGTTCAAAAGGGAAAGAAGATACATCCAATCCACATAAGAAAATAACCAGGTGGTATCTTCACTGCAACAGTCGAACCAAAACCGGCATTATGATTTGGTGATTGGGTTTCTTGACCTGTATTAAGAGTTGAGTAAGGAAGGCGCAAGAACACTCGAATGTTTCCTTCGTCCTTTGAAGTGTAACAGTGTTTTCCGGAGGTCAGCCGGTGGTTAAATGCGTTGCAATATTCAAAACAAAAATGTAAGTACGAAGACAGCAGGAGGCCTCACTGTCACGTTTAGTTAACAAAAATATGCTCAGAGACACGCAAAGTGTTCCGGACAAATTGCCGACAACATTTCGTTACATTTTCACTGAAAAGCTGCCCGAGAAGTACACTACATTGTATTTTAGTACACAATGGAAGCACCCACGTCACATTCAAAAGTAAATTCAAAAAAGAATATTATGTTCGACAACGAAAAGTGAAATTCAGCAAGCACTACATGTAGATAATGAAAAGACGCTTAAGAACGTTAATGCACGAATAAAATCGAAATCGACAGTACCAAAACAGTTCGCTACCATTCAGCCATGGTTACTTGATCAAATCATTCACATACGACATCTGTCAATGCACTTAAGACGGACGTTGGCAATTGTTCGAGGCACGAAAAAACAAACTCGATGACTACATTTGAATTTGGAAAATTAAAGCGAAATTTAACATATGCTGGAAAACGTTCAATTGCAGCACCGCCATCAAAATCCACCACAATTACTTTTTATGTCTACCAAGCGAAGAAATCGCATTTAGAAAAGAGATGTGATATCTTGATCGAGTGTTCCAAGAGGATGACTCATACCCACGTTGGTAATTTCAATAGTAGGCTTTGGAAGTATATCTGCGTTCCAATTTCACACTAGAAAAATATTCTTCGAATAAGTTATCAACAAGGGCAGCTTACGATGTAACTTGAAACTTGGTCATTTATTTAAAAAAAATTGCGATTCTGTCTCCCTAAGTAATGGTAATCCTTCCCGATTTTGAAACCTCTAGTTTCACAGCAGCATAGTTGTTCGAAACGCAAATCGCCAAATTTAAAGCTAAATCGGGAATAACTAACTCACGAATTTATCTCACGGCACTCCTATCAATCGATGGCCAAGGGAAGATAACGACAAACAAGCTAATCCACAATATGTTACCAAAATCTATAATATAAGCTTCTGATTTGTATGATCGTTCCACTCAAACGAGCAACAAATTTGTGAAGACGACTTTGCAACTAACTTGTTATGCTAGCATCCAAATCAACAATCTTTACAGTTATCGTGTCTCACCTTTCAAAAAGGCACCTTCCAACAAAATGATAAAATATCTAAGTTAAAAATCGTCTCGAGAAGCCAAAAACCTTCAAACCCAACTGAGTTTCGATATTCTTTGTACAAACAATCGTTGCTTACTGCTAATCAACGTTCGGATCGTAGGGAATTTAGGCTGGGCGCGTTATTTGTTATCACGTGATCATGACGTCGCATGTTGACGTTTCGATAGATCCACCTAATCCCTATTTTTGGGCAAACAGACGTCTTTCCCAGACTCTAAAGATTTTTTCACTTTCCTTTTACGTGAGCGGGTGAAGACGCAAAAACGATGACACGATTCGAGATAATTCTGTATTTTTTTGTTTCCATTTTTTGGGAAAGTGTCGTTTACAAGTGAGAAAATTACATGCCACATGAAATAATTTATAGAAATATTTTCTCCTCAATCATTAAGAATGCTAACGCCATCGCAACTATAATGCCTTAAAATAAAAATGTAAATTCAAAGATAGTTATGACAAATTATGTTGTGCCCTGTATTGTGAGAACAGAGTTATTATGCAAACCGGAATGATATTTGTAGAGAAACCAATTTCCGACTGAGGACAATTTACTAGCCTCTGAACTCAATGCGGTCTACAAATTTCGAATTTTTATATACATACATATATGGAAGTTTCAGAAATCGGTGGAAAAGAAACTTTCAGAAAAGCAAATTTAAGTAAGTAAACTAATTTCATAATTAAATGCACAAATATTCACTCTAATGAAAACTGAAATAATTAAAAAATTGTTGCGGAAATGACGATGTCGACCAGACCCTTGCCGAATAAGGAATTTCCGTGGTGGGTATGTGACGCCTCAGAAAGGATGGGTAGGGAAGTTGCAGTCATTCAACAGTCATGACTGACAGATTTGTCATCGACTTAAAAATTCTTTGATAGAAAATGCTCTTCGACCTTTTCCGTTTCCAACTCAACCACAGTGGTAAATAATGTATCTTTCCTTGACATTCCCTGAAATAATCTTTCCTCCTGTGTTTTCAATTAGTCATGTAGCGTTGGCGATCGGTTGGATCTTTGGACAGCTCCGATATCGACAAAATTTCAGGCCTAATCCAAGTGTTCATTTAGTAAACAACGACGCTGTAGTAGCGGCAGAGAAACACAAAACCATTGTTATGTAATGTTTGGTTTCCCGTTGTCTTTTCTTGAAAGGAAGTAGGGGGTCGGTCGCGTTGATGATGAAACTTATGGCAATGATAATAACCAAGATTATGATAAAAGGGAAAAAAATGATATAAAGATAAAAATGTAATGAAAGGGAAATCATTGACCGGGGGAGCCTGCGTCTAGGAAAAGCTTTAAGTGTGCGCGTTCGCCATAGACATGTTTTTCCATCAACCCAAACAATTTAGGTACAATGTTCACATTGGACAGCGAGTTCTGTTCAAAATCAAGTCTTCAACTAGATATTTAAATTTTGCCGTATAAACAGCGTATCCAGATTTTATAAAAACTTTGTTCCCATTTAGATCTTTTTGAGAAAAAATGGGGGAGAGAAGTGTTAATCGATCGGGCCATGAGCCCATCACAATGGGCCCCTGGTCGGGCCTAAGCGGACAAAAATTGAGCAAGATGGCTGGAGTGCTTAAAACATTGTATCGTTGTGCACGACTGATTGATTGCGCAGAGTAGGCAACAAAACCTGCCAGGTTTATTTTCTCCAGGCAGCGGTAAAGATCTAAAGCCGTTAAAGCAAATTAGCGCCAGCGCCGTTGGTCTTGCTAATAAAGGGATTATTTAAATGAATCAATTATGCACACCGTTGAAGGCCGCACCAAACAGCCGGGTAAAGCAATTTTCACTCAAAGGCGAAAGGAACTACTTTGAATTTACTTTAAAGCTTTAGGAGCGGTGAAAAAAAATTGCGCTCACCTTTCAACCAATCATATGTTAAAATGAAGTCGAATCAACTAAGTCTCACCCACCTTTTATCATGCTTGAAAGCTCTTGAAGACAGGTGAATTTTTTCAGGCCTTATTTACACTACTGCTTAAGTTGTGTTCATCACTGCGAACATCACTCTCATATTCATTTGTTAATCCGCCGCGTGAGTTCACTCATATGATTTCCATATATTCTTAGTCATCGATTCATTACTTCACGTGTTTATAGCGCCAACACAATGACCGGCTCCTTGCTGACTTGTAAGCTCACTCAAATTTGGTATAACACGGCACCAGAATCGCAGAGGTCATGGATTCAAATCCCGTACAGACCTGAATTTTTTCGGGCCTTATTTTCTCTACCGCTCAAGTGATGTTCATTACTGCGAAGATCGCTTTCATATTCACAGTTACATATGTTTCCCCATTGGCCCTTTGAGCTCTATTTTCTTTTTGGGGGGAGGGTTGGTGGGGAGTCGGCTGACAGCTCTGATCTTTCTCTCTAGAGTTAAACCCTTTAATTTTTATTTATGAAAAGTGAAAGGCCCTCCTCTCCTTCCTTTGCCCGAGGTCCTCTTGATGAACTATGTATTTAATAGTGTTATAACATTTGCTGCGACATTCTCATTAGGCAGAACTAAGAGTCATTTAGTCACTCCTGCTCACCGAACAAACCGCAAATTAGAAAGGCTTTCATACGCGGCATTTTAACGGCAGTAGGGTGGATGGTCGTTAGCGGTAAAGTAAGAATTTATTCAAAGATAAACAACTGATCAAACCAGCGGCGTGTCACTTCTTCAATTTCGTAAACAGCGTTGTTTGTCATCTTTCAGAAAAATAGCCTAAGGCGCGAGCACGTCTGAACTATATGCCATCAAATCCTAAGCATTATTTCGTTAAAAAAAAATAGCAATTTATCCTTAAACTAGTCAAATAAGATTCGCCAGAAGCTTCGAAATTTAATTAATATATATGTTTTGGAGTCTTCATGCCGTGTTTTTGATTCATATATTGCATGTCGTTTAGACGTTAATTGTTTGGAAGTCTGCGGTTTGTTAGCAGTCATGGGTGGAAAATGACAAACAATGGATTGCCGGATTTAGTTTTGAATGATCTTGTCCACTCCCAGAAAAAGAATTTGTGCGCGCGCCGCTCGACCATGAAAACCTCCGAAAAACAAGTTGGAGTAAGAACTGAATATACGTACACTTCAGCTAGGACGGATTCACGACAAACGTAATTCACTTCCTTGTTTGTGCGATATATTTGTACTCAGGCTTTTCGTTTGTTAAGCTAAGCAGTCCGTCAGACTGTCAGTGATATAAGTGGTACGAGACTAAGCATACCTGAATAAGATTAATTTTTTTCGCTTTGCACATGATCCTATCTCAGTCCCCAAATAGCCTCGTCATACTTGATATCCTGGTATATTGAGCACAGGAGATACGTAAGGTTGAAAGAAGACGGATCACGCGGAAAAATGCATGTTGCCCTCTACCTCATTCTTCCCGCGCCCATTTTAATATTGTGTGGCTTCTCACGTTAGTGATAGTTAGCAGACCACCACAAAGTTATACTGGAAACAAGCAAAAATACGTATGCTCAAAAGAAACGGAAATACACGCACAGAAAGCTCTTTAAAATTAAAGAGTGCTTCAAGTCCTTCAAGTTATCCATTTCTCAATTGCTATTCAAGACACCTAGATCACATATAACAAGATTATTGATGATATCAGGTTTTAACTGTCATGTTGAGATACTGAAAGAGACACATCACGGCCGAGATCCATAAAGCCCTGGTAAGCTTGTTCGAAGCTAGCGCCAGGGTATGAAGATTACGTTGACTCTTTTCAAGTGAGCCATTTTATGTTTCAGTTTCTTCAGTACATGTACAACGAAACGGCCTAAAAATCGAAAAGTTTTTTCCTTCTTTTCGATATTGTACTTTGAATTTGTACCGTTAAATATCGACAAAGATAGCAACATTTTTCAAAGATCAATATTCTAACTATTTGATATTACTGCCAGAAGTTCTATTGTCCACGAAACGTTTCTTTACTCTTTATTTAAAGGCAAGAGCCTATTACAATAAAGGGCTCCTGCTAGTGGTGATTGGGTTTTGAAAGAGCTAAGAGGGAAGGGATAGGCGGTAAATCATGACGTCAGAGCTGTACATGAACTCGTTATAATTATTCTCCATCCTTCGTTTGATCCCACCGGCCCTTTTTCGGCGCCA